GGAACATAATACATGTTTGGTTTTTTGAGACAGGATCTTGCTCTGCTGCCCAGGCTGAGTACAGTGGCAAGATCACAGCTCTCTGCAGCCTCGACCTCCTCAGCTCAGGCAACCCTCCCACCTCACCCTTCCAAGTAGCTGGGACTAAAGGCGTGCACCACCATGTCTAGCTAATTTATTTATTTATTGTAGAGACCAGGTTTTGCTATGTTACCCAGGCTGGTCATGAACTCCTAGGCTCAAGCAATCTTCCCGCCTGGGCCTCCCAAAGTGCTGGGATGACAAGCATGAGTCAAGGTCCCCCTCCAACCTGATGCTAAGTTTTATTTATTTATTCTTTTTTATTTATTTTTTGAGTCAGAGTTTCACTCTGTCACCCAGGCTGAAGTGCAGTGGCACGCTCACGACCATTGCAGCCTTGACCTGCTGGGCTCAGGTGATCCTTCTGCCTCAGCCTTCCAAGTAGCTGGAACTACAGGCACGCGCCACTACTCCCAGATAATTATTTGATTGATTGTAGAGATGAGGTCTTACCATGTTGCCCACACTGGTCTTGAACTTCTGGGCTCAAACAACCCTCCCATCTTGGCCTCCCAAAGTGCTGGAATAATAAGCATGGGCCAAGGCACCCCACCAACCTGATGTTAAGTTTTATTTATTTAGTTATTTAGTTAGTTATTATTGTTGTTATTATTATTATTATTTAGTCAGAGTTTCATTCTATCACCCAGACTGGAGTGCAGTGGCAAGCACATGACCACCGCAGCCTTGACCTGCTGGACTCAAGTATCCTTCTGCCTCAGTCTTCCAAGTAGCTGAAACCACAGGCATGAGCCACCATGCCTGGCTAATTTTTTTATTTATTGTAGAGACAAGGTCTCGCCATGTTGCCCAGGCTGGTCTTGAACCCATGGGCTCAGGCAATCCTCTCACCTCCACCTCCCAAAATGATGGGATGACAAGTTTGAGCCACCACGCCTGGCTGCTGCTAAGTTTTAATATCGCCAGCAAGTGTCAATGTTTCTGATGGATCAGGGAGAGTGAAGCCATGGGCTGGGGTGAGACTGGACTCTATGTAACTGTCCCTAAAGCCCATGGGGGAGGGGACAGCCAGGCTGGGAGCTTCCTGCCAGGGTCTGTGGTCAGAGTGAAGACACAGCTCCCAGGGTAGGAAGTTTCACAACCCTGATGAAAGTGTGACTGGGACCACAGGAGGGAGGAGCCCGGGAAGGGTACGGTGGTGGGCTATAGCAGGAGATTTTGAGTGCTTTGAGGTTGCCTGCGGGTGACCTTGCCTCTTGGGGCTGCAGCCCACCCCTCTTTCAAATGAGAGGACTGGCAGATGTGTAAGAGTGCCTCCAGCTGATGAGTATTTAAGCAACTTGAAATTTGGGACCAGATAGACATGGGTTTGTAAGTCATCACCAACATTTTCCAGCTCTGCTATGCAATTGTGTGTTTCTGTTTGTTTTTGTAGAAATGCGGTCTTGCTATGTTGCCCAGGCTGGTCTCAAACTTCTGGGCTCAAGCAATCCTCCCACCTCGGCCTCCCAAAGTGCTGGGATTACAGGCATGAGCCACCACACCTAGACTCATCCATTTGTTTAAACATGGATTGAACATCTTCTATGTGGCAGGAACTGGGAATATGGTGCAGTGGTTAGCCAAAAGCCGGCACCATTCTCTCATCTGGGTAATGACTCCTCCGTGTTACAATTTTTTTTTTTTTCAGTAGAAGTCTCACTGTCACCCAGGCTGGAGTGTAGTAGCACGATCATAGTCTTTGCAGCCACAACCTGCTGGGCTCAGAAGATCCTTCTGCCTCAGGCTTCCAAGTAGTGGGACTAGAGGCATGCACCACCACACCCGGTAATTTTTTTTTTTTTTTTTTT